CCAGACAAAAGAGAGAAGGCCGGTTAAATGAAACTGAAGAACAAAGAACAGCACGGCTGGACTTCAATACTGAAAGGACTGCAAAAGAAAGGCAAAATGCGTTGCCCGCTCAAAGAACAGCACAACTGGACTTGGATGTAGAAAGGCATGCACACTGTACACACAGTGTTTACGGCATGTTAAATGGTTTGAGAGTGGTATCACTGAAATCTACATTCCATAATGGATCCTTTGGTTGCAAGCATAGCTGCAATGGGTACAGCTATTAATAAGAAACATAACTTAAAATGGGCTGGGATCTCCAAAATAATCCAGCTGCTGCTTTTACTCTGATATCTTTATAATGGTTTTCATTGCATTTCTTTGAAACATAGGACTAGAATACTTTTGAACATTAGTATGGAATTCAATATTTATTTCTGTTTTCTTGGTTTTCAACATTTAAATTTCATCACTAGAAACCAAGAACCCCTAAAGGCCCTATTAAATTCATATTAAAGTAACCTGCAGAGGAAAAGCAGATAATTCAATCAAAATACTGTATTCACTTTTATCTACATCGGATGTGAAGATGTTAATTTACAGATTCATGTGAAATATTGCTGGTCAGTCGAGACATGCGAGAGATGAAATAAATTTAGCCTGAGTTGTTATCAAGAATATCAAACAGCTTTCAGACTGCATATTCAAGCTTTGTAGCTGATTGTAATGATCCTTGTGTCAAATACAATGAGGAAACAACTCAACTGAGATCAAGCACTTTTTTTTCACATGCAGTACAACTGTTTCATTGTGTTTTTTTAAAAAAAACATGGATAGTTTAGCCGCTGACAAATCATACCCACAACTTTCTACAACCCAATTTTCACACTTGGAGGTACAATTACAAAAAAGATTGCAAGAAGAAACTTGCATAAACAAGTAGCAAGTTTAGTATTTAAATTAAGAAATAATATTTCAATTTATTTATAATAATATTCCTTGCATTTGATACAAGGTCTCATCACTTCATTGAGACGTCTCAAAGCATTTCACAGAATATATTGTAAAGTGAATTGACTGTATTTTGTGGGCAATTGTGCACAGCAGTGTCCCACAAACAGTCATTGATGATGATGGATTGCAATGTTTTTTTCTGGCTCTATGCTCGTGTGACATCCAAAGGAAAAAGAAAAAACTGGAAGCAGCAGGACTCTGCAGCTTGTTCTCTGTGTTATCTTTAAAATAAGACCTTTGCGATTACAAAGACAAAACATTGGCGAGTGGTGTTCTGGGATTTGCTCTCTTGTGTATTTAACATACTTTTTCCACTTACTATCTTGTAAGCACAAAGCTAAACTGACATGATGAAACTGTTCTAAAAAGTAACATTGTCTGAATACAAGCCTTTCAAAAATATCCCTAAAGCATATTTAAAAATACCCTTGCTGTTTGGCTGTACCAGCCCCTCTCAGGTTCTAATTGACACAAGAGGCTTAGACTTACTTACACTGATATCCTCCTGTGTTTTGAGATGCACGGTGCTGCCAATAGTCAGATACATTGGTTTGTTTCTGCTTGAACATTAATTCTTCCCAACTGACCCCCATATCAGCTAACTCCTATTCCACAAGCTTTCTCCAGGACAGTTTCAATCTTCTATTCCTTTTCCTTTTCAATTCAAATTAATTGGCTGCTTTGGTGGTTTATCCTATTGAAGTATCTGTATCACTGAACCTTTTCTTTCATACTCCCTTAGCCACCCAGCCCTGAGAATGTGGGAAGTAAAGTTACAATATGCATATATATATATATATATAATTTATTTTTTATTCCACTGCTTTGAGTACAACCTTATAATTTAAACAGCACAAGGAACCTGTTCCAAATGCTTTTTAGTATAAACTAGCTCAGAAATCAACATGGGCTTCAATCCTCTGCCCGAGAAACATTTTTAATCCCCAACTGCTCCATTCCTCAAGTAACCAGTTCACATTGTTACTTTCTCTGCTATGTGGAGATTAGCTGAACAGAAATGAATTTAAAAACAAGGTTAAAAGAGACAATAAAAAACAAGCAAGTATTTTCAAAGTATGTGTACAAGCAATACAATACACACAAATGTTCACATGTTGACACTGATGTATTTCTTTAGATTCAGTTCCTCTTTAGAGGCTGATACTGAAAGTAAAGAAAGCGGGAATCAGTGGAAGTATATTACAATGGATAGATATGTAACTGGTTGACTGGAAGAACCCAGAGGGTGGTGGTACAGAAAATATCAGACTGGGAAAATGTTATCAGTGGAGTTCCACAAGGGTCTATTTTGGGACCTCTTTTGTTTAATATTTTTATAAATGATCTAGGAGTCACATGAACAGTGGCTAAGTTTGCAGATGACACCAAACTAATAAAGATGGTAGATTACAAAGCTGAACAAAATAGGTTACAGGAGGATTTGAACATACTTGGGAATTGGGCAGATCAATGACAGATGCAATTCAATGTGGAGAAATGTAAAGTACTTCAAATGGGCACCAAAAAGCCAGGAAGTGACTATTATTTGAGGGGAAGGAAAATAATATGTATGGAAAATGAAAAGGACTTGGGGGTCCTGACTAACAATAAATTGAAACTCTTGTAACAAAACTCTTTGGTAGTGAGTAAAGCAAACCAGATGTTGTGATGTATTAAAAGATCAATAGCAAGCTGAAATAGTGGAGTAATCCTGTCAATCATTGGTGCAGCCGCATCAGTTACGGTCGCTGCAGAACAAAAAGGATATAGGAAAAATCGAGAGGATACATAGAAGGGCAACCAGAATGATTGAGAGAATGGAGGGACTGGACTATGAGGAGCGACTAAGTAAATTGGGCTTGTTCACACTGGAAAAGAGAAGATTGAGAGACGACATGATTGCTGTATTTAAGATTCTAAAGGGGCGAGACAATGTAGGTCATGAAAAGGTGTTTAAACTAGTCCGGACTAGTAAAACCAGAGGACACCGCCTGCGATTGAAGGAGGGTAAATTCAAAATGAAGCCACGGAAATACTATTTCAATGAGCGAACAGTAAACCTGTGGAACAGGCTCCCTAGGGAGACGGTTGAAGCAGGAAATGTTGATTCCTTCAAACACAGATTAGATAGTTTTCTTTTAGGAAATAATGTTATGGGATATACATGGGTAGTTCAGGACCTATGTGCAAGCGACCGCCTGGAAGGTGAACAAGAAAGACCTTAAAAGGTCTTTTATTCGTCTAGCATTTCTTATGTTCTTACATTCTTATAAAGCCACTAAGGATTAAATGGATAATTTTCAAAATTGACTGGTACAGTACAAGGATATTGGACTGAAAAGTGAAACCTCCAAAGCCCTTTTTCAGTATTAAATAGAGGCAAATATGTTCAGACTCATCTAATCTTAGCTTCAAAAGGAAGAAAGCCTGCTCTGGACTAAAGGGACTGGGGAGACAGCAAGATACACTTTCATTTCATTAAGGTGTGCAATACAGAATTTATCCAATGAAGGAAGGAAAAACAAGCCAAATTCGCCCTCTCAGATTATTTTGTTAGACATAGTTAAAATTTTATTACAGCTCTACTGGAAATATTTAAAGATAAAGAACACATTTTAAAACCACAGTATTCCAAATAGTATCAACAATATACTAGATAATATACCGCATTTTCAGTTTCATACAGGAATATCATAATGTATTGCTTTAATATATTTAGAGTCCCAGAATTAGAAGTTGATACTAGCATTGAAACAAGTTATTAAACCAGATGGTTTATGGGTCTGTGAAGGTGCCTGTTAAGGCATTCAAAAAGTATTACCATATATTAGTAATCCTTGTCCTTCGCATCTGAATAAATTCAGCAAGCAAACAACAAATTACATTTGTATAGAGCCTTTCATGTTGGGAGGACGTCCCAAGGTGCTGAACAGTCAGGATTTAGACCCGAGCAAAGGTTTGGGATCAGGAAGAGTAGAGGGTAGTGAGGGTACAGGTTGAAGTGTCACTGAAGGCGCAGTCGGAGAGGAGGGTCTTTTTATGTGCCTTGAAGGAGACGAGGGAGGGTACAAGATGAAGGGACAGAATTCCAAGGGATGGGGCAGAGAAGCTGAAGGCCCGACCGCTGATGGTGGGGCAGGCCGGGAGGGGGACATGGAGCAGGCCGGAGCCTGGTGAACGGAGGGAGCGGACCGGTTGATATGGGGTTAGCAGGTCACAGAGGTAGGAAGGAGCAAAGCTGTGGAGGGCCATGAAGGCGAGGACAAGGATTTTGAGCCGGGTGAGAGTGGGGGTGATAGGGTCACGGAGCCTGGTACGGGAGAGGACATGACAGTGGTCCTGGAGTCGAGGGTGGAGGCAGAGAGACAGAGTAGAATAAATATCAACTTAGATTTATATAGTGCCCTTCACATAGAATAACGTCTTTGAGCACTTCACAGGGACACTGTCATAATACCACGCTTGCTATTACAACATCAAGCTATTTCTTAAACTGTCCAGTATTCTCTTCTAATCTGTAATAAAGGAAAATGCATGTTTTCCATAAAATCAGCTGAGGTGAAAGTGTGATATACTGAACTTATATTCATTGATTCATTATCATTTCAATCTGTGTCCAATATTTTCCTAATTTACATATTTCCAAGTGTATATTCCAAGTCTATATTGAGGAACAAGTATATTTCAATGATATGGGTAGAAATTCCACCAGGTCTAAATTTACTCTGTTTTCTTATCAATGCAGCCTGTCCAGAATTTGGCAAATGTTTAAAATTAGTCTGAAATTAAACCGGTTTTCTGTAGCTTGAGAAAAAAATTACGGAACACCAGCTTCAAAACGAAGACTTTATTTAACAAATTGCCAAATTATGAATTCTCTAATATACTACACAAATATAGATCTAGTTGGAATTTCCATCCACACCCAACTGGTTTGTTGCGACAATTTCCTGAAGAGTGAAATGGTAAAGTTTAAAGTCAGAAAGCAATAATTTGTGGCTTACGGTTTCCAACTTTGCTGTGATCACTGTGGATGCTGTCACTGGAGTGATTGCTTGAGGCTGAAGACACACTTGAGCTCCTGACAAATCCGAAAGCAGCAAGCTTAGCAGCTGGCAACCGAGAGTAACCAGGAGGTCGGAGTCCAGAAGGGCTTGGTTTGGGCAGATTTGACCTTTGAGCTGTTGCAATGGTATTTTTCTTTGAGTCCACTATAGAGGGAAAAAAGTAATGTATTGATACTCAAATAAAACATGTAACTGATAGTAAGAATTCAGGAGTAAAGCTCCAACAACAGAACACCATCTATGAAACTGTGGCTGCTTATTGCAGCCTCCTGATTGAACCTCAAAGTAGGTATTGGATTAATCAGCCTTTTCATTAAAAAACTGGAATGCAGATTTCAAAATGAATAAATTGCAATATTCTGAATATATAACCGTTGAGACAGAAACCTAGGATTACTTTACCCGTTTATATCGACCTCCCGCCTATGTCGACAAAAAAAGTGAAGTCCTGGTCCCTTCTCTGCATATCAACACACTAAACCTGTCAGCATCGACACACTTATATCAACAATTTTTCCAAATCCTTAACAGTATTAACTGCTTTCTGTTTTACCACTTATGTCAACAGGCCCTTATCCTCACGTTTGACACATGAGTCAGTGAGTGAGTGATTGAGTTAGTGTGACACGTGCATGAATGAGAGATTGAGTGTGGCGCATGAGTCACTGTATGTGAATGTGTGTGACATGTGAATGAGTGACGTGTTCGGCTTGTCAGTGAATGTTGGGACGACCAATCGCAGTCTACCACTGTACCATGATGGATACCACGACTAGAATGAAAAGTAAACTTGACTTGAAAAACATGAAGGATGAATATTGCGCAATCAAAGCAATTAAGAAAGGAAAGTCCAAAAAATAAGTCTTCTCTGTGAAGCACTACATCCTACAAGGTTAGTTGAAATCTGCCAAGTACTTAAAGGCAAAATACGAAGTAGGGGCATATGCGTTACAGAAAAAAGAAAAATTGCAAAATATGAAGATATTGAGGATGCATTAGCCACAAGGTTTAATCAAAAACTCACCAAAAATTTCACCACTACCAAAATCTTTCAGCTCCTAAAAAAGTTGGTAGCCATTGAGGCAAAGAAGAGTTTATGGAAAACCTAATGGTGGCAATGGACAATTTTAAAAAAGCCTGGACATTGATAAAATAAACACAAGAGACAATTCAGAATTGCTTTACACGTGCTTTTTTGTGCGCTCCACATGATGATAACTTCCATGGATTCACAGCTGATACCTGTAGTGCCGAAGAAGACTCTGACAATCAGGTGTTGTGTGAAGCTCTTGGTTTGCAAAAAGAGTTCATAAATACTGCTGCTAATGTGGGTGCAAATGAGCAGTGCACTGCAGCACTGACAGATGAAGATATCATCGCCTCAGTAAAGGGTGAAGACGATAGTCAACAAGAGATTGAGGAACCTGAAAACAGTAATGAAGAGTCCAACAATGACAATATTCGGCGTGTGACATGCAAACAAGGATTTAGCATGTGTAAAGGACTGCAGATATTTATTGCTCAATCGGAGCCATGGAAAGACATAGATAATAATAATAATAATCCTTGCATTTGATATAGCGCTTTTCACGTCGGGAGGACGTCCCAAAGCGCTTCACAGAATATACAGCAGTGTCCCACAAACAGTCATTGATTGAAAATGACCAATTTTTATTATTGTTTTTGTTTTTTCGAGGGATTATTATTAGGCATGTGGAGTAAGGAAACTTGCCCAAGGTTTCGCCCTGTGCCTGGAATTGAACTCAGGTCTCTCGCTTGCAAAGCGAGTGCTCTAACCACTGAGCTACAAATGAAGCAGCATATGGATAAACTTCAAATGCTAATCCAAAAAGAAGAAAATTTACTCTTAAATGAAAAAATAAGGTAAGTAAATGTAAATAAATGGTATACAAATTGCAATCATAGTATGTGAAATACATGTAAATAAATGCTTCAGCAAACTGTAACCACAGTGTGTATGTATTGTACGTTTGTTTATTCTAACTGAGGCCTAAACAGTGTTTTATATAGGTTAATCATAACCTCCTGACTCTTGTACTCTATGCCCCTATTTATAAAGCCTAGAATCCCATTTGCCCTTTTTACAGCTTTATCTACCTGTCAGCAAAATTCAAACGGTCCTCGACATGTCGACATAATCAAGCAAAACTGTACTGTGTCCAATTCTTTCATTTCAATCAGTGCATATTCTGATAACTAAGGTAGGTTGCAAAAAAGCCATTAATCCAGCAAGCTTAACCAGTTAGTCAAGGTCTCATTCTGGGAACCCACAAAAAACATTTTCATTTTCTGTTTATTGACAGACACTAAACTCTGGAATTCTTTTTGAAGCTGGCATCCATCCATTTCCTTTCTCTGAAACTAATGTGTTCAACAGATTACCACCTAGCATAGCAAATACTGAAGCATGTAGAGGACATTTCTATGGGCAGCTGGGTGTCTGACACATCACCATGTCTAACAATATCCAAACCAAACTAACATATGTGAACTCTCTGTGTTGCTTGGATTCTCTTAAGCATGGTGATGGGTTTCTGTGTGTGTCAAACACTTGGCTAGCTAAAAAGAAAAATATATTTTTGAATGCATTTACGACTCTAGGTGATAATTTGATTAACAAATTAGTTTCTGCAAGAAATGTTTTAAATTATCTAACCCTTGAGGCAGAAATTGACTGTCTCTCTGCAAATGGAAATGGTTTGGGTTTCAGTTCTGCCACGTTAATCATTAAGTAGGGCTTTCTTTTCCTACTGACAACTAGAAATTCAATTTAGATGACAAGCTCCTACAATTAGTATCTATTCAGATCAGCTTGCTGTGAATTCAAAGCATGTTCTTGATGTTCCTGTTTAATAAGTTTCAAACTAGCTATGCCTTTATAATTAGACACCACACATGTGAGAAGTAGAGATTAATAGGAACTGGTGTGATAGAGTTTTAAGTGGCTAATTATTAACTGAAACTAGTCTAAGTGAAGAAAGATAAAGGATATCTTTCCTCACTTAAACTTGTTTATTAAAAGGAAATGAATGTTTTAGGAATGGCAAGTACTTTCTCCTCCAATGTAAGTGCCAGTTAACTCCTATTCTTTCCTTTCTATTCATTATTTCAATGATCCTGGTAATGGGCTTCCTATATGGAAGTCTTTACTCATCCATTTCAAAAAAGCAGAGATGCTGGAGTGACACAAGAAGTGCAATAATAACATGGTGTGAACTGAAGTAATCTAGTTAGACACCAGATATTTTAGATACATTATAAAAGATATTAAAATTAAAAAAGATTTTTTTTAAAAAACTACAATAATGTTTTCTCTATCTTCTGAAAGGCAGTTATAAATCTATTCAGAACAAATATGTTTTATATACATAAATGATCTGGACTTGGGTATAGCAAGCACCATTTCCAAGTTTGCAGACAACACAAAGTCAGGTAGAGTGGTAAACAGTGAGAAGGATAGCAGCCAACTGCAGGAAGACAGAATGGTAAAATGGGCAGACACATGGCAGATGAGTTTCAATGTAGAGAAATGCGAAGTAATGCATTTTGGTAGAAAGAATGAGGGGAGGCAATACAGACTGGTAATACAATCTTAAGGGGAGTAAAAGTACAGAGAGACCTGGGGGTGCAGGTAAATGAATCCTTGAAGGTGGCAAGACAGGAAGATAAAGCTGTAAAAAGGGCATACGGGATACCTGGCTTTATAAATAGGGGCATAGAGTACAAGAGTCAAGAAGTTATGATTAACCTATATAAAACACTGGTTAGGCCTCAGTTAGAATACTGCGCCCAGTTCTGGGCATCACACTATAGGAAGGATAAGGCATTGGAAAGGGCGCAGAGGAGATTTACGAGGATGGTACCAGGAATGAGGGACCTTGATTATGGGGAAAGGCTGGAGAGGCTGGGATTATTCTCATTGGAGCAGAGAAGGTTACGAGGAGACCTAATAGAGATTTTCAAAATCATGAGGGGATTTGATAGGTTAGAAAGGGAAAAACTGTTTCCACTGGTGGGTGTGTCAGTGACTCGAGGTCACAGATTCAAAATAGTCTCTAAAAGAAGCAGAGGGGAGATGAGAAGAAATGTTTTCACGCAGCGAGTTGTTCGAATCTGGAGCGCATTGCCTGAAAGGGTGGTGGAGGCTGATTCGATAACTACTCTTAAAAACGCAGTGGATGGGTATTTGAGGAGGACGGGTTTGCAGGGTTACGTGGAAAGGGCTGGGAAGTGGGATTGACATTAATTGCTCTATTCAAAGAGCCGGCACAAACTCGATGGACCGAATGGCCTCTTTTTGTACTGTACAATTCTATGATTCTATGATTAACTTATGCCTAAACTCACTTGGATTTGGTAAGCAAGGAGCTGAGCAATGATAGGAGTGATGGGCTCTCCGAGCCTGGTATGGGAAAGACAAAGGCGGCAGAATTCTGCAGCTTGTGTAAGGCAAAGCTGGAAAGTCTGAAAAAGCAGGGCATCGGAGTACTCAAGCTTGGACATGATGAAAGAGTGGGTGAGGATCTTGGTAACCTGGAGGAATAGGTAGTGGAGGAGGCAGGCAATGTTACAGAGGAAACATTAAATGAGGTATATTAAATCAAGGTAAAATATGCTGATACTGAAATAAACAATGGTTATATCATTGAAGAAAGGAAGAAAGAAAAAAATGCTACTTTAAAATGTTATCCTTAAGACTTCTGTCTTAAATTTCAGATTGTTAATTATTTTGGAAAACTCTTAAATTCAGTGTTAATTTAGAAACAGGTTCCCCAAATTTTTAAAATATAAAACAATCCACTTATAGTCTCATTCCTGATTGGTTATCTTCAGTTTTCTCCCTAATAAGCTTTGTAAATTTTCTTTATTTTTTTTCACCATTCTTATTAATTTATTTCAAAGCAGGTTTAGTTTACCCTGCTGCACTTGGTTATGTTACATCTAGGCTAGACTACGCCAACTCTCTGCTTGTCAGCCTTGCCAACTCTTCCTTCCACAGCTGCAGATCATCTAGAACTCTCCGCAGCTCATGTCCTCTCTATCACCAGGCTCCGTGACCCTATCACTCCCACACTCACCCGGCTCCCCATCCCCGAGGATAGAGTTCAAAATCCTCATCTTCT